TAGTATATCTAGACCGAGTGTTGAGGAGTGGGAGCCGAGGTGCACGTAGAAAAGGACATACTCTGTTTCGTGCCCCTTGCGTTCTCTCTCGTTTGCACGTAGCATGACGAAAGAGAGGGCTATGCTCTGTGCGAGCGAGAGAGAACGCAAGGGGCATGAAACAGAGTATGTCCTTTTCTACGTGCATCTTTACCCCCACTCCTTAAATAAAGGCAAACGCTCGGTCTAGATATACTATGTCTATGGTTTCTCATATGACATATATCTCTAATGCACGAGTCAGAAGTTGGCTATAACAGGGCAGAAAGTGAAAAGGTAGACGTCGGCCGCGATATTTCAAGTCGATAAAAGTAAATATATAAAATACTTACATTATATCATACATTGTTGTATTCATTTCAAATAGCGCTGCAACTTTTATCATATCGAAATATTCATATTATTATAAAAAAATTATGCATACCTCTTCGTTCGTTAACACAAATAGCTCTCTTTTGAGTAGGTGGCCACTTTTGGTGGGACACCCTGTATATGGGTAGCGCACAAAAATTTTCTTTTATCTAAGTTTCATTAATTTTTTATTGTCAGAGTAACTCTTTAAAAACATTTGTCACACGTATAAAATCAATCATTCATTCACACAGAGATTTTTACACACACAGATAATATATATATTTTATATATAATATATGTATACGTCATTATTTATTCATATATCAATCAAAAATCATCACACGCAATGGCCGCGTTCAGCAGAGAAAGCGCTCAGTTATCGTCTTGTCAACACTTGACGTTGATTCGTTGGTTCTAAAAGTAAGAACCAATCACATTCGATTGCTACTAAGCGGTTTTCTCTGCTGAACGCGACCAATATCACTAATTGTAAAAAAAAGTACTACAATACCTTGATAAAACGAGCTAATTTCAGGTACGGCGGTCTTCCATGTCTCGGAGGTCGACAAGGTATGAATACGGGGCTAGATGCTGAGTCTGGTGGTCAACCCAGGCCATTGGGAGTAGCGTCCGTTGCCGGGGTGTTTTGTCTGCTCGGGATGGGCGTAGTGCTCGGTACCATCATATTAGCGGGAGAGCATTTGTTCTACAAGTACACGTTACCGCGACTACGGCACAGACCGGAAGATTCCATCTGGCGCAGCCGTAACGTTATGTTCTTCTCGCAGAAGCTGTATAGGTTCATCAATTGCGTGGAATTGGTCTCACCGCATCACGCCGCGCGGGAATTAGTGCACACAGTGCGACAGGGCCAAATCGCGTCGCTCTTCCAGAAAAGCGTTAAACGGGTGCGTGTCACCGAATTCTTTTTTTTCCAAGTGGTACACGATATACGCAAGTTCGCGAATATAAATCTTGATAATAGGAGAGAAGTTTACATTTACGTATTTGTGAAATAATTGCAGTAGAAAAGCATGATTAAAGAGACTAGTCTACTCTAGCTGTATGAAAAGATGATTTCAAGAATTTTTTTTTTTAAATATTAGAGATTGATCTTTTTGGCGTTATACATGCATTTTATTGATGTTCAAACAATACTTTAATATTTTTAAATCTTGGATATTTATCTTTTTTCGTTCAATGCGTCTCTATACATAGTGCAGAAAAAATGTATAGTTCAATGATCCCAGCAAACACAAAGTAACAGTAACATAACATTAATGTTATAATTTCCCACTCAACAATGTAACTGTTACGTACAAGGCATGTTATATTGCAGTTACATTGTTGAGTGGGAAATTATAACATTGATGTTATATTACTGTTACTTTGTGTTTACTGGGATGTAACATCCCAAATAACCAAGTGTGATTAATCATATTGCTGTCATATTGCCAACAATAATACAATTGTTGGCAACATAACAGCAACCTCATAGATATTTGGCTATTTGGGATACGGCACCTTGTGTAATGAGATTAATATTCTTGTCTGAAATGAATAAATCTGGTCTAGTTCCATTCTGTAGAATATTTATGGGATACTGAACTTAATGTCATTAGAGAAAATTGAAAAATAACATAGTAATGTCATTTTAAAATTAGATATTTCAATTTTGCTGAAATTTATTCATTTTTTAAAAGTCAATAAAATATTAATTATTAATTTTTTAAATTCTATTTAGGTTCAGTATACCTCAAAAAAGTATTTTTTTTTATTTAAAAAAAAAGTTAGTTATTTGATGCATCAGTTTTCAAGATATACATCATACTAACTTTGAAAACAATGTTTTTAAAAAAACGTTTAAAATTTTGCAGGCCCATTTAAAGACTCGCGCACTATTCTATTTAAAGTCTTATAACGTTAACTCGGCGAATTCTTTAATAAAATTTGAAAGACATATTCTTCAGATATTATATATACTTTCAGAAAAAAATCGATTTTTTTACTCTCTAAAGGAGACTGGACCCTTAAAGATACAATCGGTTTTTTTTTAAACAAAAAAAGAATTGTCAAAGATTTATGCTCACGAATTTACGGACAGTATTCTATTATTATATTATTTTTATTTTGTTATATTATATTATATTATTATTAGTATTTTATTATTATTATTATTAGTATTATATTATTTTAGTCTCTAAATATCTACATTGTTTCCATGTTCTAGAAGGAACATGAACAACGTCGCAGACGTAAAAGCAAAGCGCAATTTTTCGAAATGATCCAAGAAATCCGAAGGTAAGAGAATGTTATTATCAAACATTCTTTCTCAATGTATTCTCATAATCAATCATGTCAAATTAGGAGAAAATATATCAGGAATCAGTGCGCTGATTATTCAGTTACTCTAATCTTTCAGAGTTCAACAAGAGGAAAAAATCGAGACGGTACCAGAGGAACCTACAGAGACTGCGAAAAAGGATGAGAAATTGGGGAAAGGTAGAGAGAGAAGTCGTAGCAAGAGTCCCTTAATGCCTCGTAGTCCGAAACGCTCGGAGAAGAGCAGGAGTTCGACCAACCTTTCGGCGTCCCGTCTCGGACTATCGCCGGTGAGTCTTGACGCGCCGATGAAGCCGCGCGAATTTACGCTCAGCAGCACCAATCTGCGCGCGAGGAGCCCGCTGGAGACGGTTGGACGTAGATTGAGCCACGGCGACGGCGGTTCGCCGCCGCCGCGTCTCGGATCGCATCTCGGTGGCAGCGCCACGTTACGCCCGTTGGTGCCTACCAGGAGCGACTCAACCGGCGGCGGCGGCACCCCGACTATCAGACGCGACTCGGTCGCAGGGGGAGGCGGTGGTGCGCCGACCCCGAGATACTCTCGCAGCCCCGCCAAGCGGGGTCAATCCTTTCCGGTATTTGCTACACTGAGACCGCCTCACTCGGCCGGCTATCAGACATCCAAGAGTCCGCTGTTGTCGCCCAATAACGAGCTCACTTCCGCCATCGGGAGAAAACTATCGCGTGAATGGGGATCTGGGACTATCAGTCTTACCAGGTCGTCAGAGGCTATAGGCGGTGGTAATAGCGGTGGCGGTGGCAGTGGTAGAAGCGGTGGCTCAACCCACACTCTGAATCAAGAAATGACGCTCTCCTTGAGTCGTTCCGCAGACGAAGAGAAGGCCCAGGGAGAAGCGTTGCCTATCAAGAAGCCCATACGGCGTGCCAGGAGCCACGAGAATCGTGACAGCGGTAAACTAATGGTGGACCTGCCGTCGCCTAGATTGACTCAACCGGTGGTGGGCGGCCGGTCAGTGAGCGAGCGAACGAAGAAGCAGCTTGAGGAAAAATAACATAGTAATGTCATTTTAAAATTAGATATTTCAATTTTGCTGAAATTTATTCATTTTTTAAAAGTCAATAAAATATTAATTATTAATTTTTTAAATTCTATTTAGGTTCAGTATACCTCAAAAAAGTATTTTTTTTTATTTAAAAAAAAAGTTAGTTATTTGATGCATCAGTTTTCAAGATATACATCATACTAACTTTGAAAACAATGTTTTTAAAAAAACGTTTAAAATTTTGCAGGCCCATTTAAAGACTCGCGCACTATTCTATTTAAAGTCTTATAACGTTAACTCGGCGAATTCTTTAATAAAATTTGAAAGACATATTCTTCAGATATTATATATACTTTCAGAAAAAAATCGATTTTTTTACTCTCTAAAGGAGACTGGACCCTTAAAGATACAATCGGTTTTTTTTTAAACAAAAAAAGAATTGTCAAAGATTTATGCTCACGAATTTACGGACAGTATTCTATTATTATATTATTTTTATTTTGTTATATTATATTATATTATTATTAGTATTTTATTATTATTATTATTAGTATTATATTATTTTAGTCTCTAAATATCTACATTGTTTCCATGTTCTAGAAGGAACATGAACAACGTCGCAGACGTAAAAGCAAAGCGCAATTTTTCGAAATGATCCAAGAAATCCGAAGGTAAGAGAATGTTATTATCAAACATTCTTTCTCAATGTATTCTCATAATCAATCATGTCAAATTAGGAGAAAATATATCAGGAATCAGTGCGCTGATTATTCAGTTACTCTAATCTTTCAGAGTTCAACAAGAGGAAAAAATCGAGACGGTACCAGAGGAACCTACAGAGACTGCGAAAAAGGATGAGAAATTGGGGAAAGGTAGAGAGAGAAGTCGTAGCAAGAGTCCCTTAATGCCTCGTAGTCCGAAACGCTCGGAGAAGAGCAGGAGTTCGACCAACCTTTCGGCGTCCCGTCTCGGACTATCGCCGGTGAGTCTTGACGCGCCGATGAAGCCGCGCGAATTTACGCTCAGCAGCACCAATCTGCGCGCGAGGAGCCCGCTGGAGACGGTTGGACGTAGATTGAGCCACGGCGACGGCGGTTCGCCGCCGCCGCGTCTCGGATCGCATCTCGGTGGCAGCGCCACGTTACGCCCGTTGGTGCCTACCAGGAGCGACTCAACCGGCGGCGGCGGCACCCCGACTATCAGACGCGACTCGGTCGCAGGGGGAGGCGGTGGTGCGCCGACCCCGAGATACTCTCGCAGCCCCGCCAAGCGGGGTCAATCCTTTCCGGTATTTGCTACACTGAGACCGCCTCACTCGGCCGGCTATCAGACATCCAAGAGTCCGCTGTTGTCGCCCAATAACGAGCTCACTTCCGCCATCGGGAGAAAACTATCGCGTGAATGGGGATCTGGGACTATCAGTCTTACCAGGTCGTCAGAGGCTATAGGCGGTGGTAATAGCGGTGGCGGTGGCAGTGGTAGAAGCGGTGGCTCAACCCACACTCTGAATCAAGAAATGACGCTCTCCTTGAGTCGTTCCGCAGACGAAGAGAAGGCCCAGGGAGAAGCGTTGCCTATCAAGAAGCCCATACGGCGTGCCAGGAGCCACGAGAATCGTGACAGCGGTAAACTAATGGTGGACCTGCCGTCGCCTAGATTGACTCAACCGGTGGTGGGCGGCCGGTCAGTGAGCGAGCGAACGAAGAAGCAGCTTGAGTCCGAGTTGAAAGCGATTCTAAGTGCCAGGGCTCATCACCGCGACCTGCATCCCCCTTGATAGGAGACCGCCCCTAATTAAAAAAAGAGTTCTCGAAAGAACGTTCGGCTTTTGGATCGCTGAGCCTCTGAGGGGCTTTGATTTAAGCAATATCAGATTTATAGGTCAATTTGTAGAGGAAATCCGACACAGTTTCAAAGAAATTAAGAACTTAAATCAGAATTATGGCGGAGAGCGCGGGAGAAATTTCTGCGTAGAAGGGATAGAAAGGGTGACAGGGAGGGGAGAAGAAAGGAAATCTCTGATTGTTCATACGTTGTTACGTACATTAATAATATAGGATAATATCGATAAACAAAAGTGCTATAAACTTTAGTAGTGATGTCTTAAATAGTTAGCGCGGAAATACACACGAGTACTAAGATATTTTCTTGTTGGCATTTTAACTCTACATTAACCGGCAGCCTGGGTGAGTCTCTCTCTCTCTCGATTGCTATAATACCAGCATATTGTACGCTACAGCGTTTCTCAACTCTGATTTTTTGGCGATTCTTAGTGCATAAAGTTCTATCTTGCAAATTAAATCGATTCTTAAGACATTTACTAGATCGGAGACCTGTTCAAGTTTATCAAACGAGCTTCGTCATCCGCCTTTGTTCTCAACAATATAGATAACAATCAATTGACCGCACGGATACAACGAACATACGTGATGATTTCTAAATAGAATCTTAGTATCTTTGTTTTCTCATTTTTTCCTATTCCGTCTAATAAAACGGAAATGTTTTGCTCGCAAACAGAAACTCGGACAGGCCTGTATGTACTATCCCTTTTAAGAGTGTAAATATTTCGAGAGACAGACTATATTGTTCCTTCATCTCGTTATAACGCGAATACTGTAAATATAACAAAATATAATGTATAGGTATTTCGCATGAACAGGATACGTAAAATAATTATCTCGTGTTGAGAAACGCTGCTTTAACGAACTTCGTCGAATTGGACTGCATACTGCCATATTTAATAATTTCTGTGACTGCGGAAGGAGAGACTCGCTCGATGGACTTTCGGCGTAGAATGACCACTAATTGCGAGATAATATGCATTAATCTTACAATTATCATCGCGCCTGTCGAGGGAAAGGATTACAAAGTAAATGGAATTCTAATCCGAGTCTAATGTATTCGTAACACACAGGTTATTCAATACGGGAAAGGAAGTGTCATTAAGAGATCCTTTTAATTTAAAATAAGAGAAAAATTTCGTAGCCACATGTGTGTGATTGCGGATTCTTCGCGTGACTTACGATTATTTCCTAAAGCAGTGCCAAAGATCAATATAACTCAAATCTCTCCATCCTTTGCTTTATCTTACACGAAAGTGTATAATAATAGAACACGATTTTTAGCAAAATAAACGCCAGAGACAAAAAAACCGCAGTATATTATACTGATAATCTCTAATAATCGTTTGTTTTGCTTTTGGTAAACGTCCGGGTTGATGAATTACCGATTTCCGACGAGATTTTACTAGACTGATAGATGAAAATTCAATTCAGGAATTGTAAATGAAACATTATTGGAATTGAATAATTGTTACTCATCGATGTGCATGTCCCACGTTTTTGTCTATCGAATCACTTTGATGAAAGAGGGCGAACTCACAAGTCTATAGTCTCGTTATTATTATTATTCGACTTAGATGGTAGTGTGGATGTGTATGGGACTAAATTTTAATTAATTACATTTAAAAAAGGAGGATTTATGAGCGAGGCCTTAGAGGAGTTAGTCGTATCCGCCCAAAAATATACTTTACTTAACTAGTACTGTACTAATACTGTATTCGAATATTTCACTACATTATATTGCATAATAGAATGTATATACAGGGTGTCCCAGAATTAGATCGACAAATATCAAATGGTTATAAAGGACACCAAAACAAGCCAATTTTGCCGATAAACCCGTCCGCAAATGAGCCGTTTTAGCACTAGAAAATCAAAGACTAACAAGGGAACTTTGTGAACCCAAAAATTCTGATTTTGATGAAATTTTACACACATGTAGAGGGGGTAAATAGATGAATTTAGAAATTTCTAGTTGCAGCCCAAAAATGATTCTAAGGGGTGAAATCACCCCTCGTATGTAGAGCGGTTTTTTGCTCTTCTCGATATATCTCGAAAATTATTCGAGATATCAAAAAATGTTTTATACAAAAGTTTTATGGTAAAAACACCTCTATTTAAGCAGATTTAAAAAATTTTGAAAAATTAATTTTTTTTTGAGATTTTTGCCTTTGTTAGTCTTCGATTCTCTAGTGCTAAAACGGCTCATTTACGATGAGTTTATTGACAAAATTGGCTTGTTTTGGTGTCCTTTATAATCACCTGAAATTTGTCGGTCTCATTCTAATCAACTCAAGAGAGCAACTTACGATGAGAGATTGAATTTTTGCGATTTTCTCTAAAATGGAGCAAAAACGAGCAAACCTCTAAAGGACTTCTTGTCTTAGTTTTTCGGTCCCCTACACGCTCTTGAAGTTTTGCCATTTAAATTGGGGACACCCTGTATATATATAAATATATATATACAGACATTTAGTTTCACATAGGTTCCTTAGTAGAAAATGCTATTGTATTCAGAGAACTTACAGACTAAAAAAATCCCTCGAATCCTTAGCGGGTAGATATATATCGATCTCTGTATGTATGAAAGTGTATGTGTGACTATTCACCGAGAATGCAGCGAGCATGATCGTTAGGTAGAGATGTAAATAGAAAAAAAAAATTTTTTTTTCCCCCCCCATAAAATGCGATTTTTTGTGAGATAAAACAAGTCTCGTTTTACTTTTCTTTTTTTTCCAGATATTTAACTTTATATTTTGATTATTGCAAATTGATTTTTCATTATTTTTTATTTTGTAGATGATAAATCTGAATTTTTGTTTTTTATTAGAAAAAGAAAGTTTTTTTTACATCTCTACCGCCAGGACTAGAGCAGTCTACACTTTGACACTCCGGTAGCTAGAAGAATGTCATTGTCTTTGTTAGTGATCGTGATTAGGTAGTTTCGAGAGAGAGTTTCGATTATGAATTATGCGCCGAAAGCTATGATTGACGAAAGTGATTCCTGAATGATTGCACAAATCGTGCCGTTTTACAGACACGCTAAATATATTATCATTTAGCTGAGTCTTTCTTGTTCGCCTACGTTCCATCCGTAAAGTTGCCCATAAACGCATTTCGGCTAACTTAAACTAACAGCTCCTTTCTCTCTCTCTCTTTACTTTCTGAAATTTATTTCTTTTGACTGTATACACGAAGTACTGATATTGGTTTAAATTATATCGGTGCTTTAAAAGCTCTGAAAAGTAAGAAATTCTTTTTCAAGTAGACTCTCTATAGCGTTTAGTCTGTGTATACAATTGTATGCAATTAATTCAGGAAGTGATCAAAATACAAACATAGGGGGCCAGTCTAGAGTCACCCGCGCCTAAGGAAATCAAAAAGATAGACTTATTGAAATTAATTTATAAGCTGTAATTTTTTGTAATATATGGGTTCTGCCGGCAATTTGGTTCAGTAGAGCTCTCTCTCTCTCTCTCTCCTTCCTCCCTCCCATCCCTGCCTCTCTCCCTCCCTCCCTCCCTCCCTCTCTCTCTCTCTCTCTGTTTCATTGCGTGTTCTGTTTTCATAAACATCTCGGGAAAGCCTGGCATCCTTCAAGGATATCTGTACATATGTGTCTTCTACTAGATACCTGAAGGAACACTATTGCACTGAATTAAAGGTCGAGCCCTCACTTTTTTGTGCGCCAACAAGAGCCTGGATTAAGTTATAAGTTATGCACGGAAAGATAAGAGCAAACTGCACGTGTTTCGTTTATAAGAAAGTTCTCATTCTAACGCGCGAAATTTCCGAAACGGTCTCAATAGATACAAATATAAACATATTGCTACGATAGTAGATTGAACACAACTGAGAAGCACACACACACACACATACACGCATACAAATTTCAGATTTGCAGTATATAATTTTAAAGAAGGTATATAAATATTTTTTTTAATAATTTGTATGTGAAATATTTTGTGAATTTTTTATTTCTTAAGAGAGACGCTTACCATTATTTCACTGCAATGCACGCATGTTATAATGTGCGTATTATTATAAATATATATCTGGAATTGCCGGCCTACATACAAGCAAGATTCCCTATTTTTTTACAAATCATACATATTTTTTTCTGCGAGACTCGAATTTTCAAGTGCACTCGCTCTTCTCTTTCCATCACAATTCTCGGCGCATTGTTTTTTGACAACGCAAGAGAGAATACAAGTACAATTCGAATGTATTACCTGTGCAAAAAGAATTGCGAATTAGTATCATCGAAAGAATATAGACATAATAGAGAAGAGAACAAAAAAAAACTTCAAAGAATTCGTATGAGAATGAAAAGCAAACGAATACATCAATTAGCGAAAACAACATTTCATTGTTTTGAGGAATGCGTTAAGTTGAATTATTAAATCTCAAATTTGCGCCTCATTATCTCATTGACTAACGGCATCATATTAATTCATTCACTAACCGGCAATAAAATTATTCTACAAAACACTGCCATAATTTGAACTGTTGTTACGTTGATTTTAAAATCCTGCTACATAATACCACTATTTGATATTGTCTAACGAACGGGTTTTTAATCCTGTTAAGTGATGAATTAATATGCAAGTGCCTCTGTATTGTTATGAAATATTTTTCTACAAAATGTTACAATTTATATATTTTTTTCGCAAAGATTATTTCTATATCCGTGAATAACTCTTCATTATTTCTTCAAATTTAACATTAAGAATCAGTAGCACTAATGTTATTTAGGCTTTAAGCGAGATTTAAAACTTTTGGTTTTTGACAATAACCAATGTTATTTGACTTTTGGTTTTAGGCTATAATTTAATCCTTAATTAACTTATAGTCTAAAGCCTAAAGCCGAAAGCCAAATAACATTGGTTATTGCCAAAAACCAAAAGTTGTAAGTCTCGCTTAAAACCAAAATAATATTAGTGCCGGGCCTTAATTATATGTATATTTTTTCAATGATTCTCTTAATGCAATCTTCAATTAATTTCAGAGAGAGTATATTTCTTTCTCCTTCGTATTAATTTAAAAATTATTATAAAATTAATTAAAACAATTTTTTTTCTATAAATATTCTCATATATAGGGTAAGGCAAATAAAACGTTACAAATAAGCCAATAACTCTAAAAATATTTGTCGAATCAAAAAGTTGTTCATGAGAAAGTTTCATATATTCGAATGCCTCCTTTCATGGCGAGGGGGGGG